GAGGTTGTTGTAAACATTAAAAAAACAAAAGGGAGCGGGTGGGGGAAGGGGTGCAACCTCACTTGAGACATGGTGTAATTTACTCTGAAAGGGCACATTTCCTTATGGAAAATTAATATATATATATATATATATATATATATAAATATATAAATATCAACTTCAGTTGCTGTAAGGAGTAATTAAGTGATTAGGGTTTGACTCTTACAAATACAAAAAATCTAAATTAAAAGAAAATATTTATTTATTTAATATTTATCAAAATCTAAATAAAGATTGTTTCCATGTTCGGAAAAAATATTTTTTAATAATAAAAAGTAAAATTCATTCACACGTATAGACTAGCATATTCAAACAAATATTTTTGTTTTTTTTATTATGTGACGACAAAATCTGAGTTTAAAATTCTATGTGAATACTAAAATACTCTACAGTACAGACCAAATGAATTTGTGTAGGGTATCTGACGTAGTAAATTTATATATACCCGTGACAAGGAAATAAACTATATTTATTCATACCGGTGGGATATATAAATAAATAAATATTAATTTTTTATTTAATGATTCTGTTATAATAAATGTTTTACTTTATAGTTTTTGTTTCTTAATTCCTGAGAAAAGTCTTTAATTAATAACTTTCAATTTTAATATTACAATTTAAAATTCAATTCAAATAATTAGACAAGTTTAGTATTCTTTTTTTTTTTTGTTCGTGCCTGGAGTAGGAGGCACCTTAAAGGATGAGATAACTGGCTCCAAGATTTAACGCGGCTGCATACACAAGGCAGGATTCGAACTCCTGACCTTGCTTAAGCGTGGATCAACCTCTATCACTAAACTACAGGTTTGGAGTTAGACAAGTTTAGTATTCGAAACAAATAAAACTTTTGGCTCACATAAAAAGGATGAAATTTTATGTGGGGAAGAAACTGAACCTTCCTAAGTTAGAATATTAAATGCTTGAATTTTGTTAACGAATGTGTTTAAACAAATAAGTATTTTTAATGTATTTTATTAAATAATTAAATTATATTTAGAAAAATATTATATAATATATATATTTTGAATCGACTTAAAGTGCTGGAGTGGCGGTGGATCCCACGTTGTCAGGAGCGGAATAGGGTTTGTTTGGTTTGAAAGTATTGAATGTTACTAACGGTGACGTGACGGTGCATTTTTAAAGTTTAACTGCTATGGCATTTATGGTATATTATATATTATATATGGCAAAATCCAAAAACCATTTAATTCAATGGCCTCACACAACTAATTTACTATTTACTACTCACACTTAATGCACATTTTTTTTAATTTTATTTTATTACAATCTGCATCGACTTCATAGCTACCTTCACCACGAGCTTCGTGCATCCAGCATAGGTGGCTTCTTTATCCAAATGGTGTAGTTTTTATTATTAAAATCTGGAATAATAATTTTTTAAAAAAATTTCAAATTAGGGTCCGTTGTGCTTATGAAACATCACTTTTAACGTATAGATATGACTTGTACTTTTTATTTTTTTTAAATATTAAAGTTTAGTTTTTGTCTTATTTTTTAAAAGTGCATAAGAATTATTATTTTAATATTAAAAGAACAATGGGAAAAAAAATATGAGTCATGTATAGACTTGGGACTTAAAAAAAAAAAAAACTAAAGTCATATTTTTATATATATTTTTAAATATTAAAGTTTAGTTTTGGTCTTATTTTTTTAAAAGTGCATAAGAATTATTATTTTAATGTTAAAAGAACAATGAAAAAAAAAACACGAGTCATGTATAGACTTGAGACTTTCAAAGGAAAAAAAAAAATTAAAGTCATATTTTTAAAATAAACACAGTTTCTATTTGAAAGTTGTGTTTCTCTAACACAACTTACCTTCTTTCATAATTTTTTTTAAGACTCATCCCAAATTTTTTTTTTAAAAAATTATATAATTTAAATGAAAAGATCTAAATGAACATAAGTCAATATAGTTTATATATAAAATAAATTATATTGGTAGAGAAATGTTTACCGTACACATTTATGATTTTTTTTAAAAATTAGTTATTATTTATAATGATATATAATTTATAACAAATATTATGATAACAAAAAAAAATTGTAAGATACAACATATACTTTAACATGACTAATACATAATTAATTATTTTAAAAGATATATTAATACAAAGTTGATTATAGAATGGTGTATATAATGAAAATAATACTTATTATTATTTGGTTAAAGATTTATTTACTAGTATTTTAATCCGTACAACGCACATACATGTTTATTATATATAATATATTTAAAATTTATAATAAATTATATATATAAAAAAATATTATATTTGAATACATAAATTATATTTTATATTTATGATAAATATTTTTATTGTAAAAAAATATTTTTATTTATTAATAATTTACTTTAAAATATTAATATTTAATTAATAAATAGTCACGATAAATAAAAAAACAAATCAAATAAAAAATTGAAAAAAAATTCTAAAAATATTTTCATATAAAATAAAGATTCATATATAATATATAAGAATTAATTATAAATTTTAAAAAACTATATAAGAACTTTTTAAAATGAATTATCGGTTGAAAAATGTCTTTAATACTAATACTAAAAAGTTGTTTATAAGAATTTGATAAATCATTTTTCCCCAAAAATTATCAATATCTTTGTATAAGTAATTTTTGTTAGAATATCCTTTCAAATTTTATGTTATTAGATATTTAAACTCAAAATCAATATTTTTGATTAAGTTAAAAATCAATTACTAATTAATCATTCGGACTATAAAACAATTTTATTAATGAATTGTTATTTTATTTTTTCATGTCCACAATATGCTTATTTTAAATGTCGTAAATTGTGAAAACATGTTTAATGGAGGGAGATGTATTTTCATTTTGAGAAACATGACTGGTCTACGTGCCAAATTATTATTATTATATATATATA